AATAATTTCGGTTCTTTTTGGGTCTGTTCCAATTCAAAAATAGCCCACTCTTGGGAATTTTCTATTTGTTGCCACAACTTTTTAGATGCGAAACAAATTAATTTAAAAATTGAATTACGGTTTTGTGGTCAATGGGTGAGAATAAGAAAAAGAGGGAAATACGCAATTGTTTACTTTTAATTATGAAACCGCAACCAAGGACTGAGCGGAGCTGATAGAGCCCAGGTCTCGTTTCTTATTTCTGTTTTGTTTGCCGCTGTGGCTGCCACTGGTGATTCCACGGGTGCTTCTGCCGTCTGCCGGCGCCCCTGCTGTTTATCAATTTTCAATATTGACCTTTGCCCACGTTTTGTCTTTGTTTTTGCTGCTGTTACTTTGCTCTTTTCGTTTGGGTTTAGTTGAGCTACATTAAATATACACACAGAGCGCGATGTGTTTGTTCTGCGGCTCTCTCTTCGCACCTTTGGGTCTTCGGGGAGAGCACAGCACCTGGCGGGGACTACGTCCACGGGGCGGTAGAATTGGATAGTGCCGAGCGATAGGAAGAAATACACACACAAATATTTGCGCTATGCAAGGTGACATTTTTTTTGGGGTTTCTCTCACTCTCGCTTAGCAGCTATTAATAGGTTGGCTTTCGGATCCATGGGATACAGGGAAAAGGTCTACCAGTATGGGGTATGCCACATTTAGTGGTGTTTTCGATATATCGATTGTATTATTTATAAGCTTTATATTTAAGTCATTAATTAGTCATTACTACAATAGAGCTTTTAATAAAAAAAAAGCATAATGAAGTGTTCCAAATATGCGCCTGTCTTCCTAGCACAAAATTTTGAATGTTATTTAAATGTCTTTGGTGATACTTAAGTATTTTTTACTTAACTTAAAAGCCTGCCAAAATGATACATCATTCTGTTTTTTTAATTTCATAGATATTTAAAATAATATGTATATTTTTACTAATTTACAACATTGAGGTATCAAATTTCCCAGACATTATCTATCTATGCTCTTCTATTTTTGTTTAGCTTATGCCGAAAATAAAATTGCTGTCATGTTGTCAATTGAATTGGAGCGTCGATTTCAATTTCTAGACCGTTGGCAGACGTCCCGCCCTCCGTCTTCCGCTGCCTGCATTGCTCTAATTTAATTGCAGTGCAATGTCTGCATGTATCTAGATATCTGTATCTGTATCTGTGCAAGCAGCGAATGTGTGTGTGCGAGTGCGTATATATTTTTGCCGATGGACTAGTCCCTCAGAGGAAGTTTAAAGCCGATAAGCCGCGTCCGAATGCCAAAGTGCACTTAACCCAATTAGCTGCACAAAAGGCGATAAAATAATTGCATTTAATTAAGTTTCAATCAGCGGGACGACAAACGGCCAACTAATCGTCAAGTTTTGAATTAGCCTGCCACTGGCCGTCGGCGTTGTGCTGTACAAAGTATATAGTCTGCTTCAATTTCCTCTTTATCGCCGCCGCGGAAAATCAGTTCTGCTTTTGCTTTCTAATGACTTGCGTTTCAATGAAAGTTCAATTAGTGTGTGCACAGAGCGAAAGTTTCTGCAACACAATATAAAGAAAGCACATAGAATAAAAAACGAAGGGAGATAGCTCTGAAAGGTTGATGGGAGGGGACCACAGAAGCGTGAAGGAAAAGTAAATATATTTTGTCTCACTTAAGGGCTTTGTCCTCCCTTGGTCATCTGGATTTCCCTTCCGTTTTCTCCGCTTTTTTTTTTATTGCTCGTTTCCTCGCTCGCCCAATCAACATAAGCAGATTCTTTTCGGTCCTCATTAACATTTATTTGGCCTTGTGGCATCTCCACCCAAAAAAAAAAAAGGATCTTTCCCCCCATCCGCACAAGTTCAATCCGAGTTTTATTGAATTCATTAAAAGCGCAGCACACTTTCCCTTTGATTTTTATTTAATTTTTTGTTCGGTTTATTTTGGTTTCCACGTTTTTGCATTTTTATTTTTGGCTTTGCCTGACACTTAAACAATTAAAATAGGATTGTTGTGAGTCCTCTTCCCGATCTGCGCCCATGGCACACATTGCAATTTCGCTGGCGAGCTGCAAAAAATGCAGACAGTGTGGCATGAATGTATTTAAAAATGTAGCCATCTCTTGTCTGTCTGTCCGTCTGTTCCTCTTTCCAATGCCATGTCATGTGTGTGTGCAGATTTGGTTTGCAGATTGTATTTTTTTAAATTGGTTTATCCGTTGTTATTGTTCAAATTTTTTATTTCATTTTCCCTCTTGGGGTTTTTAGCTGTACAAATGGGACTTTTACGGTTTTATTCTGCCAGCTCTCTGCCCAGACTGTAAGTTGTATGAAATTGTCACACGAGGCGTATGGGTGATATGCAAATGAATTTTTAATCGAGGTTAGAGAGAGCCATTACACAGGTAAACGCAATAATTGCTTTGTGATGCATTTAGTTAAGAAATAAAGGGCCTGGTGAAAATAGTGCCAGGCAGGCAACAGGTACGCTTTTGCTTCTATTATTTAAGCAGAAGAGGTAAAATTTGCCATAGTCCTTAGGCCCTTGAAGAACAAAGGAAAATGGAATGCGCTCTAAGCTCAGAGAATTAAAAAACAAAAATTGTTCGATAAGAATAATGGCAGGCGGCTTTCGTATAGTATATTTTTACCTTTAAAACGAAACTTTCAGCACTGCATTAAGTTCTTTAAAATACTGTGGTGAAGCACTCACCACCTCTGAATAAGTTTTCAAATGTAATAAATTAAATGGTCTGATATTTTTTTTGGTTGACGTTGCTGTTGTAGAAAAAGTGACATCAATTGCCGATGTTAATCAAATTTAATTAAAGTGAAAACAAAGTCAATGCATAAAGAGATTACAATAAACTGCTTGTGGAAAAAAGTAAGAGCTGGAAAAAATATAATGACATAAAATGAGCGGTAAAACAAATTGAAAAATGATTGAAATTTACCTTAATTGGTGGATAGCTTTCAAGTGCTGCTGTCTTTCAGCATATTAACCACTAGTTTTTTTTACTCTTAACAGTTGGAATTTATTGATGAACATTTGTAAACAATTTACATGATATGTTATTGTTATATGTTTTCCTGTTTTATATTTTGTTTTGTGCTTTTAAATACCATCTTTCTTTGTGTGGCCATGCAAATCAATTCTGGCATGCTGAGAGAAAAGCGATAAAGCCATTTGCATGGCAGTCTTTCGTTCTTTTGTTGTTGTGCGCACTTAAATTTTAATTAATGAATTTGTTATCGTTTATCGTCATGGTGACAGCAATTGTTGCCATTTCCCTGCATTGCTGATAGACCTTACCCCGCCTCACCAAGCTATCTAATTGTTGTTATTCCTGCAGGTTGGTGGTGTTGCCTTTGTCGCATCAATGTCACTTGTTCGCCACAGCCATTGTCTGTCAAAAATTTGACAAGTCACGCGAATGAGAGAGATGCTTCCAGAGCACTTGGAATGTATGGGTTAATACACACCTGAGTGCAGGCAATGGCTAATGGCTTTCGTTCGGTAATAAAGGTGCTGAATGGCAATGCCAAAGTTGCAGTCGGTCATTATGGAGCTTAGTGCGAAACGATCTAATGGAATAGTTATGGAAATATAGAAGCATATAGCATATAAGGGTATAACATTTAATAGAAATATGTAATTTAGTATAAAAAAGTAATACAACTTCGTTTTAAAAATCATTGCTTCGTTTCCCTATAAAATTTGTATAATTTTCTAATCTTTGTAAGACTCTGTGTTTACCAAACTAAAGTATCCCCTAATTACAGTTGCCCCTTCAGGGTGCAAGTGTCGCATGTCAATGCGACTCCTTAAGACTCCTCGCTTGGACCTTCTTATTAGTTTTATGGCGTTTTAATGGCTTAATTAAACAATCAACCAGGCGGACCGCGATAGTTCAATTATGTAAGCAGTTTTGCCAAGATGCCAACAATTAAAAGTTCATTAGAGCGGCCGCGAGCCGCAACCGAGAGAGGGAGGGTGGTGGGTAAATGCGGGAAATGGAGGCTGTGGAAAGCCGAGAAAAGCTGCATAAGCAGCTGGAGTTGTTTTTGCCTTTTGAGGCAACAAAGAATCTAATTGTATATCAAGTGCAAGTGCAATTGTACAAGTGGGTTAAGCTGGGGGGGCAGCAGGGGGCAGGCATTTCTGCATCAATGAATCGGGCAGAACCCGCAAACAAATACTCACACAGCACTGGGCGATACTTGTAAACTAATTCAATTAACGTCTAAGCCGCTTAACATCATCAAGTGACCCAGTCTGCCCGGTTCTCACAGCCCAGGCCCCACTCAAAAGCCCCATACACCAAAAAAAAATTAAGTCTTTACTACTAAATAGTTGCTTTAAATTATAATATTAAAAGAACCAAAGTATATTACATTTTTTAGTTAATTATTTATATGAGAATGTGTTTAACAGAAAGGAAATTGCAGGCTTGCGATCATAGCTAAGCCTATTTAGAAGAAAGTATTTTAGAATATTTTTAATTTCTAACATTTTCAATGTATTTAAATGGGTGTTTGTATTTTTCCTCGTTAATTTTGCTACCAATTTTTGTTCTCTGTAAAAAGACGCTTTAAAAGAGTGACCCACAACTGGTTGGAATTAATATTATCTAAATTAGCGCGGCGCACGCAACGAGGAATGCACTTTAAGTAAGTTTTGCACACATCTCCGCTAAATATTGTGCAACTGGCGATGCCAACCGGTTGCTGAATGCTAAATGAAAACATTCAAAAACCCGAACTCAATCTCAGCTCAATCCACCCTGTCTGTTTGTCTTTCCGTCAGCCGTTGTCACATCAAGTGCAATGAACGGGTTTTGCGGTTTCTCCGCCGCCCAATTGTGGGCGGAAGTGAAGAAAAGCAAGCCGAAACAAAACGAAAACAAACCAAAAGTGGGTTAAGCACTTAATCAAAACCCGCCCGGCATTTGCATATTAATCAAGTTTACAATTTCCCTGTTCTCTTTGCAGGCAATTCCCAGAAGAGACATTGGCCTTTTAACTGCCTTAAAGGTGAGTGGAGGCAACGTGACAGTTGGGAATTTGTTTTTGATTTCCAGCCCAAGCTCTTATCAAAACCGGCCACAAACAGTGGCAAATATCTACCATTATTTACGCCAGAATTTCACACAATCCGTTTCATCAACAACCCCTTGATAATTGGCCAGAGAGTCTCGTTAAGGCCCGGTCATGTGCAGGACGGGCTCTAATAAAAAATAATTTGTTAACATCCCCCGAAACTATTTGTCGGGTTCATGGCTCTGCCGTGTGTCAGCCGGGGCTTTGGCATGTCACATGTGGCTAAAAAACACATCAGAAATATTCCACTTTGCTAACCCTTTACAAAAGTAAAAAAAACCTGTAAAAACACACAAGCAAACAAAAACAATAAATAAAAAAAAAAGAAACCTATTTGTTGGCACATCTCGCACATGCAAATGTAAACGCCTTTGCTAAATATTGATCAACAAAGGGAAGAAAAAAAAAAAAAATATAGCAGCAAAGCTTGTCTGCGGCTCTGGCCACAAATTGTCGACGAATAAAATGCAAATGAAAATAAAACGCAATATGTGCAAATTGTGGAAATTAACAACAGCGAATTGTGAAGTAGCTAACAATTAATAAAGTAAAGTTTATTTATAGCAAACGTTGAATTACGCCTTTTGGAGGCCAAACAAGGTACAGGGTTCTTTCAGAGCAAAATCTAAAGTTCTGAAAGCGAAAAGCTAATTTTCGAATAATTTATAACTCCAATAAAAATTATTTCATGGTCTGTTGGTAAAAAATACTAGCAAAATTATTGCCACACTGAAATCTGCGGTTTCGTGATTGAAAATTGGTTTGGCTAACATTTTGGAATTTTCGCTCCGACTTCCCCGAACTCGTGCTTGACTGTAACACTCACCAAAAAGATTCATTAACGAATTCCTTAATTTTAGAGCAAATAAATTTACCTTTACTTAGCACATTTGCCTATATTTCTGCGGCTGTTTTGTCAATTGGCCAATATTTGTTTGTTTATTAAACAAAAAAAAACTATGTTTATGCGCCCTGTGGCAAAATAATGCTATCGTAAATTGGGTTAAAATTTGACGAATATCGTATAGGAGAGTATGTGGATCATGCATAATCAATGACAACATTTGTGCCAACAAGAGCCGCAAATAAACATTGTTGAATTTGCTGTCTCTGTTTGCCTTTGCATATTTTATCAAGGGGGGCAAGAGCTAAGTAAATGTTTGCGAATGGCTCACAGCTAACCGGATACTGGGCGAGAGCTCTGGGGCACTTTGGATCTTTGTTATCTAATCCATCCAATGCACATGAGGCCCGGCCCGGACCGAGCACTTCAAAGCGTAGTTAGGGGATGGCATGGGAAATTCTTTCCAGCGAATTTGTGGTACGCTCTCTCAATAAGCCTAATATTTATTCTGGCCGAGATAAGGCGATTGTTGCTACACCCCCTCCATTCCCCCATTTCGTTTCTATATCCACAAGCAATTTAATAATTGTCGGATATATCAATCAAGCGATCTATTTACACGTGCTAAGCTATCAGCACTAATGGCTTATCATAAAACCCCTAATTAATGCCACAAATGAACAAAATGCGGCATAAAAAGAAAGAACTGATGAAATAAAATAAAATCTATTGCATTTAAATGCGATCCAATTAATTAAGGCTCTCCTAACTGGCCCATGCAAATCAATTGCAAACAATTCGGAATTATTCGATGGCGGAATGAATAAACATTTGCACATATTATTTGCCATTCGAAATGGCAGCCATGGTGGCGTATACGCAATATTGGCACAAATGTAAATAGGGAAAAATCTATTTTTGATTCCGAGAGGTGAAATTACATCTGAAAGCTATGAGCTATAAATGTTGGTAATTATAATGCACAACCCTCTGTCTGACCCACTTTGGAGACACTTCGGCCGGGGAGATGTCAGAAAGGAAGTTGGCAATTATGAGCATACAATAGAGTTTTTGGCAACATTTGCCATGTGCCATTGTCCAGCCAACTGATTTATGCATGCCATTGTACACTCTCATTATTGTTGTTATTTACCCGGCATCAGCAGCGGGTGGGCGGTTGCGGCTCCCAGGGATTGTGGGTGGGTGGGCTTGCATTACCGGAATTCAAAATGAAATTCTCAGGGGTGCTTACCAGTTTATTCAAATTTCAAATGCTAAAACCTTTGCCACAATTGACACGCTTTTGGCCGTGTGCGTGTGTATGCTTGCTATCTCACACGCACACATATTTGGCAAATATTTTCCCACCCGAAAGTCCCCCCCAAGCCCGGAAAACCCGCCCAAAATTGAGTGGAGCCAGGAAACTTTTAGCGTTTGCCGAAAATTGAAAACGTGTGCAAGAAAACTAATTTGATGAGCAAATATCGCCTTTGCTAGGGCAAAACTTTGCTGGTAGTAAAATCGTTACTTATTTTTTACAAGCAGCAAGTTTAATATTATAAAAGATATTTGTTTTCACTCTACCAGTGCACAGATTTCAGAGCTGAATATGTGTTTGCGTCCTGGCATAATGCTGATTGCCTCAGAAAGAAAGACTAGGCTTTAAGTTAATAAAAGATAATTTAATTTAATTTAATATTTGTAATTTATTTCCTAATATATTATAACAAGATATATGCTGCCTCGTTAGCTGACTTTTGCACTGATTTTCGGCTCAATATGTTTGTAAAGGGGGAATTATGCTGATTGCTTCGCGTGTCGATTCTGTTTATGCAAATGTTACGTGCAAATGCTATGCCAAAAATTAAAAACCCTGCCAAATTATGCAAATGAACTCTGTCCCTAAAGGTCAACAGCAACAACAACAATGGCGCCGGCAAAACAGAGAACAACTGGGGAATACAAGGTAATTAAGCCATTCGCTTTGAGCCTCGACACTGCAATTAGCAGCGAGTTTTCTTCTGGCCAACCTCCGTCCGGCCCCCCTTGAATTAAAATGAAGGTGTCAACGTATTTGGCCCGCTCAATTTTTCCCTCGCAAATAAAATAACAAGAAAATAAGAAACAGAAAAAATCGTACAAAATGAACAGCAAAAGCATTAAAAAGCTTCGGCTGGGGAAATATGCAAATTTTATGACTCGACATTGAAACGTGGCCATAATTGGGCCAAAAGTCGGAGTCAAAGTTTGAGGTTAGAGCTTTTGTCTTTCGGAGCAGATTTGGCCTGTTCTTGTTGTTCCCAAACCCCGATCCCTCATTGGTCTCTTGGCCCCGCAGGAAGCGCATAATTAGCTTTGCCACGTCGGTTGCATTTATTGTTTGGTCGTTGCCAAACTTTGGCCAGAAGGGGGCTTGGTTAATTTTTCGTTGAGGTTACGACTTTGTTGTCATTGGGTTTTCGGGTCAGCAAGAGAATAGGTTTATGGCTTTCGGTTTTTCTAGGAGTATTTTGTATTTGAGTTACGGGACCGGCAACTTGTTTTTCTTTTTAATGCAATCAAGAAAAGTTTAGAAAATACCTTAATTTTAATGAAAAGGTGAATAATATGAAAGGAAATGTTAAAGAGTAACTCAAATAAGGAGTGGTTGATATTCTAAATGTAGAAGAAGCTTTAAATATGAAGTATTTGAATTTAACTTCTTGAAGAGTCCTTTAATTTAAAGGGAAAGCCACATTTCTTACTGTAATCATAAATCACAAATCGAAATAAACAGTAAAATACCTGAATGTGTTTTGTAAAATTGTCTCCGACGATAGCCTAAATGTTTTACCTACCACCAGACCTTTGATTGATTAGAAAATTTAGCCCAAAATCTGAGATATTCCTTAGAATTTTCTCCTGTCAAAGGGAAGTTTGTGAAGCGAGTATTTCGGGTGATTTGCTGAATTTTTCATCACCCCATGTCCCAGGCACCTCTAGTCATTCCAATTATCTGTGAAATTGACTACAAAACGTTCCACTTGGCTCCACTGGCAGTTGTCCCTGGGAAGCAATTTGCGTTCCGAACACTTTACAAGTCGGGTTGTCTGCGCTGTCCTCCTCTGCTCATCCTACCCCACCTATCCTGCACAACCATACATATTTCTGTGTATATAACCTTTTAAATCTGCGTTGTCACTAGCCCCGGACACACACAAAGGAAAAATACATAAACTGTCATAAAGTAGCAATAATAATCCTTGAGCCTATGTCGAGAGCGTTTTACTGAATTTTTATTGACTCGACAAGCGGCGGAGGAGAGGAGGATTCCGAGGGAGAGCCAGGCTGTCAGGCATTCAGACATCAAGGCATCCGGGCGGACCACTTCAGCTGGCAGGACAACAAGGACGAGAGCAGGAGCAGACAATGGCTCTGGGCCCAATAAAAAGTCGTCATCATAATTTCGTTCAGACCGACACTAAAGTGGGGAGCTCGGATCGGCTTGAAACCGGCCGAAAGCCAACTAAACCGAAAGTAAAATCCGGCTCGGAACGGATCCGAGCGGAGCATTACAGGCGTTACAATAAACGACCGCAAATGCCCGCTGTTTCATGCACATAATTCGCACATTTTGACACGGCTAATGGGTGTGGCAATCGCTGGGGAAACAACTGCCTGGTCACCCTGGGCGTATGCTTAATCATTATTTAGCCTGCGGTTCGGCTTCTCTTTTGTCATCATCATCATCATCCACTCCCGGAGTGTTGATTTTTATTGTTAGCAAAATTATTTTTTAATTAAATTTTTACGACACGCGTGCCCACAGAAGAAGTGAGAGAAAGACGAGGCCCAAATAGGGAACGGTCGAAGCCCGATTCTTGCGGCTTCTGACTGGATTTTTTTTTTTTTGGTTTGGTTATTTGTTATGGCTTTTTATTTTTGTTTTATTTTTGGGCGAGAGTGTTTTGTCTGTCTGTCTGGCATGCTTGGCGGCGTGTTTTCTGCATTTCCCTGCACATTGCCACAAACAAGTCTGGCTGAAACCCCCGAAGCCCCCCCCTGACACCGACTGTAAATACATTTGAACCCTTTTTCACTCGTCGCTCTC